TCAAACAATCGAAACAGCAAAATGAGTACAAACTGCTAGGTCCCTGGCCTTGTAGCTCGAAGCCCCTACAAGTAAAGCGGCTCAAAGCATGCCCGTTTTGGGCTTGGGAACTGCGAAGATATCCGCGATTTCTCGAGACCTTACCCCCTTAGCCTGGCCCTATAATCCAAAGTCCCTCAACGCTATACTTTACCCGCACGCCAAAACCATACCTTTACCTTCTTCTGGGTTCTATCACGGCTGTCTTTTGTATTGCTTTACAAATCTAAACAGCTAACAAGATCGGCTTTGGGCGTGCTGCAGGTAATTCCTAAAGCCGTAAACATCCGCAGAACCTTATTCTTTCCGTCTTCCTCCGTCGAACCCAAACCTAAATCAACAAACCGCCGAAGCCACAAACCCCAAAGCCCTTGTTGTGGATCCCAAACCTATTATTAACTTTATGGTTACACCCATAATTTGGGGGGACGTTGGCGGCCAGAACTGAACATTCTGTACGGGCTGGTGCTACCAGCAAACCCTGCACACTTCTAAAACTCCATAAAAGCCCCACCCCGAACTTCCCAAAACCCACAAACTTCGCAAAACCCTTCCCTAAGCCCCTTATACCCCATTATACCTCTACCACTGCCCCTACACAACAGTAGGTACCACTTAAACTATCTTCAAAGAGGTACGGCAAATCATGTTAACAAAAAGAGCACATTTTCCCACTAAGGCCTCATGTCTTCCGGCTTTGGCCGGGGCTTCAGCGTCTTAGGCATGGCGAAGCCAGAGGCCTCGGTGCCCCCTTGTGTTTCTCTTGCTTCTTGTTGAGGGTTTAGGCCTATAGGGCTTATTGTGCTGTTGAATTAGGGGAAGGGTTGAGGGTTCGGGTTTATTTTTTGATCTCTTCGGCCGTAAAATGTTGCGCATTTGGTGCTTTTGGGGTGTGGGCTTTTTCTGACGGGTTGAGACTCTACAGCACTTTGAAGGGTGTTGTGTAGGCGCTTTTTTTGTTGTATTGTCTGTTGAGCGCGGGCGTTTTCGAACTGGACATCAGGGCTTCGAGCTGCAAGGTTCATGCTCGAGGATGTTTCCATAGAATCCAAGTTGCATGCACCGTGGGATACTGTTCCTGAACCCATCAGAGCCTTGTGTTGCAGATAGCCCGTAACCTACCAGGTAGGCAGCTGGACTTCTGGGATGGTTGCACAGAATTCTAAACAATTCGGGACTTGAGGGTTTGGCTTCCTCTCGGACTTCTACGATGATGTTCAAACATTTCGTTGAGCCGCTTGTCCTTGAAAAGGGGCCTCCATGTTGAGCGGTTCTCTTGGTTAGGGCTCGTCTGCCTCGCACGGCTCACAGAGATCGTCCACATCCCAACAAAGCCCTGGTCTGAACCCAAGGTCCCAGGTTCAGGGTTTCGGGCTATAGGGCTTAGGGTTTAGGGTTCTGGGGGGCTCTATGAGTGTAAATGGAGCTTTGAAGCCCGAAGAGGACTAAGGGGTTCAGGTGAAGGGTGTCGGCTAAGAGGCTTAGCACAGCTGGCATTCCTAAACCCTGAACCCTGAAGCCGAATCCCTCTTTAACCCAAGATCCAGGTTGGTTTCCTGTTTAGTTAGAAAACGAAGGGTTTGGGGCCGTTGAAGCTCCTGCCCATTGAGATGCAAGTATGGATATTCATTTGACTTCAGAAGGGTTTTAGAGGGCTTGCTATAAAGAGGTGCCAATGGAGTGTTACAAGAGATTTCAACAGGGGTGAATCCATTTACTATAAACAGTCCAGCCCCAAGCCCCAAACCCCAAACCGTGTTTTCTAAGGTCAGGGCCGTCGAGGAAGCATAGCCCCGTGGCATGGCTTTGCCAGGGCCACCCACCAGGGTTCCCATGGTAGCAGGAAGCTGAGAGCCGTATTGAAAGAGCAGAGATTGGGTTGAGATTTGAGGCTTGGTGTTTCGGGTTTAGGGTTCCGGTGCTCTCGAGGTTCTGAATCCGAATGGCGGTTTAGGCCACTGCAGGCTTTGGGGTGGCCTGCGATAGGAAAAAGGCCCGATTGCCTAAACCTTATTGCCAACCTGCCGGACATCCCTGCGACAAGCGGTTCCCATAAGGCGGCATTAGGAACAAATTGTATATTTGTTGGGTACCTGGGACCCGGTGGGATGTCAGACCTGTCCATGGGAGGTATCCGAAAGCTTCCGCAGCCTCCTCAACTGCGCTTCGAGGCCGGGGATGTATAGACTATAGATGAAGGGTAAAGGGAAACCGCTTTGATCTTGTATAGGCTTGAGGGCGACCCGTGAATGGCGGGGTCTGGAAGCCGTGCCTCAAAGCTTCTTGCAATGACATACTGTTCGGCGCTGCAGCTAATGGATGAACCTGAGTGCTCAGCCAACTCAGCAAAGGCTCTTGCAGCCAACTACTTTTCTGCCCTGAGCGAATGCACTGGATGAGCCTGTATGCTCAATTCGCTCAGCAAGCTAATGAAACAACGCCCGATGCCAATGACTGCTAGGCTAGGGTTCAGAATGTGGTGATTCAAACCCATGTAAAGCTAGAGGAAGCTTGTCGTAGTGGTCAAGGGTATACGATTTGATTTAGGGCAATTTAAGGCTGAGGATGCGGGGTTTCAGGAAGTTTTCAGTGTATGGCTTGGCCTGGAGGTCTACGGCCGTAAATCCAGGAGAGCACACTGGGATGGAGCTCAAAAAGATCTCAAGGTGTATGGGAAGCTTACACTGTGGTTATACTGTATACTTCTGAGTCGAAAAGCTCGAAGGGCTTACACAAACAATACGGGATCGCAGGACGTTTCGACACAGCAACTCAGAACAGATTACAAGCAGACTCCCTAGTGTCGCAATAGTTCGCAGGTCTGGGCAGCTGTTCAACAATCCTTGTAAACCTACTAGAGACGCAAAGCCCTGAGCGCGAAACAATGAAGCCGAAACCTACAACCCTTCACCAACAGTCTGAACCCGCAACCCCTAACCCCAAAGCCCAGAAGCCGTATAGCACCCTGCAGGATCTGAGAGGAGCCCTGAAAAAAGCCCCAACCGCATGTAGGCCTCTTATGAATCCTGAGCAATATAGTACACAGAAATGTGGGTAGGTGGGCCTGAGGCTCGTTGATTGTGGCTTGTTCAAGCCCCTGTATGCAAACCTGCACTCGACAGACTTTCCGGCCTCGTTTCTCAGAATGGGGTATTGGGGTATTTTTGCCAAGATAGAATAAGGACTGTAGGAGGATAGGCTTGCAGCGAAATTGAAAACCAACCTAATATGTTGGGCGAGGCTATCGGGCACTACTTATTCCGACTGCAGCTCGCGTCAGATCCTCGATGTCGGGCTCTGGCCTCGGATTCAAGGATCTGCAATTTCTGCTCTTGGAATTGGGGCTTAGAGTTTTTTGCTTAGGGCTCTGCGATTTGGGTCTTGGGTTCAAATTCAACCTTCAGGGCCACTGCAGGGTCTGAGTTCGGTGTTCGGGGTCGGGGGTCAGTCTTACCAAGACTCCGAAGTCAAAGGCAGCTTGCTCAAAGGGGTCATTTCGGCCGGTATGGCGTACCGAGGAGTAAGAATTGGCCACAGTGGTCTTTCCAATGCCATGGACGGGGGCCCAGCTTTTTCAAGGGTCCATGCACCTCGAAAAACCAATAGGTCTATTGCCCAAAGGCTTATGATGCCGTGCTTTACGGCCGCACTAAAAATTATTTCGGCACGCGGACTCTTCGGGATAGGGATTGGCTTGTGTTTTACTGCTTTAGTCTAGGCTTTCTGCATAAGCGATGACGCAGCTTTGTACATCGCCGACTTGCTCAACTAAAGACAACATCCGAATGGTCGAAGTACCAAAAGATGATACACTCTCATGCATAACATCATCACCAAACATACAAGTATGTACAAATGTTACTATGCGGAATCCAAGCCCGAAGTCGGTACTCCGAACCCTTAGAGTAACACCAAGTCAAAAACTACATCACAAGCCCCAGCCCCCCGGATTAGTTAAGCCCCAAACCTTCAAACTTAAATCCGCGAACCCCTAAACCCTATACTCTCACCGATTTAAAACTTAGCACCGGGAGCCCTTTATTATGATGTTTGTTATTAGTCCACAACATCAGGTTGGGGCCTGACGGATTGGTCTTAACAGCAAGGAACTCGAAACGTAAATGCTGGAAGCCATTCCGCCTACTCGTAACATGTCCTAAACTCTACGCAGGAGGCACCAAAACCTCCAACAAGAAAGCCCTACAACCATGAAGCCTAGCCTCAAAACACCGAAACTCCCCAACACTTCCCGGGGAGCCTTAGAAATCGAGGCGAAAATGCGCTGGCTGCCACCGCTCTTGTGGCGTCAGCTGCTGCTCGGGGGCATAGGGAGCCACCTCGCGGAGGATCAACAGTCTAGGAAGAGGGCTAGCATTATGTACGATAAGGGTGCTATCAGCATGTCAGAGGGTCCACGACACCTTTGACTTTTATCAGGGCCTTCAGTTAATATGAATCACCGCTTTCGTGAGCTTTCCGGTGCAATGCTTTTTCTGGCCTTGTCCAGTCGATCAGACTTGGGACATGTACGGCCCATCCCCCCATTGCTTGACTCTCGAACAGTCACTCGAAGAGTACTTCAATGGAGGGACATGCAAAGGCAATGAATTGAACAAAAATGTTGAAACGGGATCAGAGACGGACCAGATTGTCTTAACAGGGGTCTATAGGTCCGATGTCCGATAGCTGTCAAAGCCATGACCCAGTGTCATCTATCTGTTCGCCTTGAAGGCGATTCGCAGAGTGTGGCTGGGTCATGCACTGTATAGGGAGCCCCAGGCTCCAGTAAAGAGCTCAGGGTGCTTGAAAAAGGATGCTGTATCTCTGAGTACAGTCACCCGTGCTAGACAAGACTGGGAACCTTAGGGGGGCTTCTACGAACCCTAACGCTCCCACAGTGGCCATAGTGACCATGGTGATCCGAATTAAGTATGCAATACGCTACACTCCTGAAGGAGACTTTACATCTGAGCACATGGAACGCAGGATGCCGAAGTTGGTACCGTGTCCAAGCTGTCCACAACATCCTGGGCAGACGGGCGCTCGGCAGGCGTGACATGCCATGCAGCCGCCATGATGGGGCGCAGCTTGGCAGGGCAGTCGAGCAGAACGGGCCGTGGCTCCTTTCCTCGCTGGTACTGCTGCAAGATGACCTCCGGGTCGGAGCCTAGCTGGTGGAAAGGAGTTCTGCCGGAGCTCATGAAGTACATGATGAGGCCATACGCATAGATGTCCACCTTCTGGTCATAAGCCTGGTATCTCACAACCTCAGGCGCCATGTACCGATAGCTGCCAATCCCGCCCGTCATCGAGTATCCGTCGCACTCCCGAGCCATCAACCGACTGATGCCAAAATCAGACACCTTGATCTCCAAATGCTTGGTCAGCAGCAGGTTCAGTGGCTTGAGATCTCGGTGGACCACGTCACGGTCGTGCAGGAAGCTCAGCGCCCGGCCGATAGCGGAACTCCACTGAATCACCTGGTGGTTTCAGCAATTTTCTAGGTACCTCATTAAGGGCCCCTTCCACAGCAATCCTGCTACAGTGTAGTCGGGGTCCATCTGAGGGTAGCCTGTTTTTTCCGAAGCTTCCACCTGAGGGAGCGCGGGACGCCAGATTGCCGAATCATGCTTGTTGCGTTGGGTCACGAAGTAGCGTTCCAAGTCCTGGATTGCGGTTGAAAGGAGTAGTAGCATTCAAAAATGGTTATATAAGCTACAAGTATCAATTTGAAGCAAGCAATGGTTATAACGATGGCTATGTACAATGTAGTAGCGACAAGGTGGACATGAAAGAAGATACATTGCCGCTAATCTTTATGGTGTCCCTTTCATGGTAATTCAACGTAAGTTCCATAACAGCAACCCAGCGTCACCACCCGGCAAGAACTCCGTCACGCACATGATCGGCATGTGCGGCTCGATGCAAGCCCCAAGGAACATGACAAGATCAGGATGTCGAAGCGACGACAGGAGATCGATCTCGTGCAAGAGCTCGTCTGAGATGGCCCTGTCCTCCTGGTCAGCGTCGCTGCGCCGGCCGCTACTTGACAGCAAGCCCTCATTGGATCGAAGCTGTCTGGCCATGTCATCATCATGCAAACCAGCGCACTTGACCACCACATCGACACCTTGCCAGGATGCTTGGTACAATGTGCTTTTCAGAGTTCTGCTAAGCTCCTTCTTCACCTTGAAGTCTGTGCGAGACAGCTTCCAGCGAGAGTCCAGCGCACGAGCCCAAAGCCGCTGATGCCTGCTTGTGGAATCCTCGCTGCAGTCGGTAGAGCCCGTAATCGCGCGTCCCATCGACCCCTCAACCTCCTCTCCATCGCAGGTACTGGTTGAGATCTGGGACACCTTCCAGGCTGGCTCCGCGATGCTGGCGCATACAACACTCATGACTGCTGCAAGCTGCCCGCCGGAGACTACTAGGATTC